AATTAGCTGGGCTTGGTGGCTCAGCCTGTAATCCCGTGCCTTTGAGAGGCTGAGGTGAGTGGATTGCCTGAGCCCGCAGGTTCGAGACCCGCCTGGGCAACTTGGCGAGACCTCATCTCTACAATAAATCAAAAATGAACCAGGCGTGGTAGCGCGCGCCTGTAGTTCCAGCTACTTGGAAGGCTGAGGCAGAAGGATCGCTGGAGCCCAGCAGGTTGAGGCTGCGGTGGCCAGGAGTGGCCACTGCACTCCAGTCTGGGCGACAGAGTGAGACCCCGACTCAAAAAAAAAATTAGCTGGGTATGGTGGCGCACACCTGAAGTTCCTACTACTGGAAGGCCGAAGTGGAAGGATCGCCTGATTCCAGCAGGTGGAGGTTGCAGTGGCCACAGGCATGACGCTGCACTCCAGACTGGGGAAGAATGAGACTCCAATTCAAACAAAACAAAACAAAGTTACATATATCTACCACATGACCTAGTAATTCCATTTCTGGGTATTTATTGAAAGGAAATGAAAACATGTCCACAAAAAGACTTGCATAACAATGTTCATAGGAGTCTTATTCATAATAGCCAGAAACTGGAAACAATTCAAACATTTATCCAGAGGAGAATGGATAAAGAAATTGTGATCCAGTCATCCAATGGGATATTATTCAGTAATAAGAAAGAACAAACTACAGATACATACAACAATAAACATATTGCTGAAGGAAGCCAGACACAACAATTATATACTGCATAATTCCATTTATATAAAGTTCTAAAACAAGTATTAATAACCTATGGAACTTTTGGGGGGTAGGGATAAAAACGTTTAGATCTTGTAGTTACTTACATGAGTATATATTGTTGTTGAAAAAAATCACTGAACTAAACTCTTAAGAACTGTGCATTTTATTGAGAAAAAGAAAACAGGCTCACAAAGGAAAGACAGCTGCCAAAGTAATCTGCCACGAGGAAATCAATGCAGTGGTCAGGAGTAGTATGAAAAACAAGCTCAAGGATTCCTGTATACTATGGTTTTGTATATCATGTCCTGGTTTAGAGGGGATTTAGGGGGAGCTAAATGAGACCCCAGAACAGAATGAGAGTAAGGCAAAGAAAAATCAAGCAGAAAGAGGTTTCAAGTGAAAAACTGGGTCGTATAGAAGAACAATGGCTCTAAAGAATTGCATTCCAAGCCGGGCTCGGTGGCTCAGCCTGTAATCCCGCACCTTTGGGAGGCTGAGGTGAGTGGATTAACTGAGGCCGCGGGTTCGAGACCAGCCTGGGCAACTTGGTGAGACTTCGTCTCTACAATAAATCAAAAAGTAGCCGGGCGTGGTAGAGCGTGCCTGTAGTTCCAGCTACTTGGAAGGCTGAGGTGGAAGGATCGCCAGAGCCCAGCAGGTCGAGGATGCGGTGGCCAGGAGTGGCCACTGCACTCCAGTCTGGGTGACAGGGTGAAACTCCAACTCAAAAAAAAAAAAAAAAAAAGAATTGCATTCCAGACACTTGATAGACCGATGGGCTCAACATATGAATATTGGGAAGATGGCTTATAATAGAAAATGATGCATTTAATTTTAGAAACACAGAGATGAAGTGACAAAAGATTTAAATCAGGAAGGATTTAATTATAAAAGATTACAATAAAATGTGGAAGTCAGTTACATAGAGACAATAGCTGAACAATTCACAAAGGAACCCTAATAAAACCTATCACTTATATAGTCATTAACAGCTATCTCATTGCTTTCATATGTATTTAGTTTTGGTTTTTAATTTCTATTTTTTTCTTGAGTCAGAGTCTCACTCTGGTGCTCCGGCTGGAGTGCAGTAGAATGCTCACAGCCACCACAGCCTCGACCTACTGGTCTCAGGTGTTTCTTCCGCTTCAGCCTTCCAAGCAGCTGGAACCACAGGCATGTGCCACCACGCCCGGCTAATTTTTTGATTTATTGTAGAGGCGAGGTCTTGCCATGTTGCTCAGGCTGATCTTGAACCCCTGAGCTCAGGCAATCTTCTTGCCTGGGATTACACCAAAGTGCTGGGATTACAGGCTTGAGCCACTGTGCCTGGCTGCTTTCATCCATATTTAATTTTTAAAATTCAGCAAACAAAAATGAGGGAGAGATGGAAGACAGACAGACCCACTTGAATCCGAAAGATACATGTTGCAGGAAAGAAGACTTGTAATTTTAGAGACCTACTAATAAAAATGGATCTAAAGTGACATGATCTGGATCCTTGCTATCAAGTGTAGTCCCCAGATATGCAACATCAGCATCATTTGGGAGCTTTTTAGAAATGTAATCTTGTGCCCCATCCTAGAGTCACAGAATTAGAATCAGTGTTTTAGCAAGACCACCAAGTGATTCTACTACACTTTGACGTTTGAGAAGCCCATCTAGGACACAGTAATTTTTTTTCCCAAGTTTCCACACACAGCATTGAGTCTCACTGTCACCCAGCCTGGGGTGCAGTGGCACGCTCATGGCCACCACAGCCTCAACCTGCTTGGGCTCAGGTGATCCTTCTGCCTCAGCCTTCCTAGTAGCTGGAACCACGCCATCACGCCCGCCTAATTTTTTTGATTTACTGTGGAGATGAGGTCTGGTCAAGTTGACCAGGCTGGTCTTGAACCCCTGGACTCAGGTAATCCTCTCATCATTGCCTCCCAAAGTGCTGGGATTACAGGTGTGAGTCACCACGTCCAGCTGATTTTTTCTTCCCCAACAGTATTTTTTTAAACTGCAGGTCTCAACTCATCAATAGGTTATAAAATCAACTTAGAACATAATGAAAAATTCAGTCTATCACACATAGTAAGTTTTTTGTCTATTTGGGTCATTATGTAAAGTCTCCTAGTGTGGGGTGAAATTTTTAAAAAGTTTAAAAACACTTAACGTTAGTAATAACATCTTTCAACCTAGAGGACATGAGAAACCATATGCGTTGAAGTTAATAAAAGCATTCATATGTTAGTGTTTCTCTAAATTTTGACAGTGATCCACACTAAGAAATATGAACTAGTAACACAGCCATGTGTGTAATATATCTATAAAGTGAAAGAAATAATTTCACAAAATATCCTTATACCCAGTAGTATACTATGATATTTTCTATTTTCTCTTTTTCAGTGTTGCTTGTGACCAATTCATCTATTGATTTCACAACTCTAACATAGGTTGCTACTCAAAGTTTGAAAAACAATGATCTTTTTGAACAATTATAATACTCTAAGAAAGGAATTGGCAGTAATGGGAAACTGCAGGGTGGGGGGCACACCTCATCAAGGGTACCTGCATAATGGACATTTGTATACCTAATCCTAAATTGTACTCCACATATTTAAAATTTAAAAAATAAAAGAAAAAAAATTTCAGTCTTTAACATGGTGTTCAGCCTCCAACCTTAGCAAAGAGGTAGTTTGAAAGGACTGGAGAAGAGAAGGTTAAGAATGACTATTACGTACGATAAATATGCTAAACAGCTGATGAAATAAACGATAGATATACTTAGCTATAAAAAGACCACTAGTGCTCATCAGGTGTCAGTTTTTTTTCTCGGTCTGAAGGCACAAAAGAGGAAACAGCAGATAGGACTAATAAGGGTTGGAAATTCGTGAAGAATCACGGGAACTGAAAGACGAAGATGAAGGAAACATGGCTATTACCAAGAACTAGGGTATTGGTAACTAACCTGCCTCAGCCAAGAAAGTGAGGCTGGTCCAGGATGCCCGGCTCATAAAGGCAGATGCTGACTGAACACTCCCAAATTTGGTTCCTGCAGGACGGATGAGATACTACACCTTGGCAACCATCAGTAAAGCCTCATAGTCTAACACCTGGGAGGCCCCGGTTCCCCTAGGCCAACGTTTTAGTATTGTGCTCGGAGGCCGCCTACGTTAAGGCCTGAGAGAGACAAGTAACTTGGGCATGAGGAATGGAGAGCAGAGGTTACTCCAAGAATCCGAGAGAGGAAAAAGCCAAGCTATTGCTAGACCTTCTCTAGGATTGGGAGCAGTGGGGGGAGAAGTTGATTAGTGAGAACACGGACAAAAGCGGCCTCCTTTTGGGTTACGGGACAATCCTGGAGACAAAGCAAGGACAGCAGAGACCCCAGCGTTGTGAGGTGGGGCCAGCCCTCAGCCCCGAAGCCCCGAAGCCCGCCGGGGTCCCCCTATTTCCCATCACCCCTCGCGCGGAGCCCTGAGGCTGTCAGCGCCTTCCAGGCTTGGGAAAGGCGTGGTTTTCCTTCCCCACTTCTCCCGTAAGGCACAGCTGCCAGCCCAGCGCCACTGCGTCTTGGCAAGGCCGGAGGTGCTCCCACCTTCACTTTAATTAGCATCTTCTTTCCAGTTTGGGGCTGCACACGGATAAATTGCCGTTTCCACCGCTGCGGTCGCCGCTGCCGCTCTCCAGCGCTCCGCCTGTGGAAGTCACTTCTGCTTCCGGGTCACGGTCTGGCTCCACCCCTCCCACCCCCAGCCTGTTTCCCCTGGGTTCCCGAAAGGCTCAGGAATGCTCGTGCGTTTCGGCTCAGTGGCGTCGTAAATAAAAAGAAGGCGACCGGTTTAGTCACAGCAGAAATGACGCCTCTGCGATTCGGAGAGTCCCCAGCGAGCAGGGATGAGCGGCAGGCGGGGACGGGCCGAATGACTTCTCCCATCATGCCCCGGGGCAGCTCTGTCCGTTCCACTCTGGGAATTGTAGTCTCCCGCTCCTGGGATCCGCCGCGAACCTCAGTGTGTGAACTTTGTTACCCAGAAGGCTTGGTACCGCCGCCGCCGAAGCTGAAATTCCTCGACTAGGCTTTGTTGCTGGCAATAAGCGGAACCCGCTGGCGTGTCCCACTGGGCTCAGCCGGGCTGCTAGCGACTAAACAAGGGAATCTTTTGGTCGACTCCCACCTGCGCCAAGATAGCAGGAAGTGAGTACCTTTGTTCCGGAATTGGTTAGGAGACCCCTTAACATTCCTTCGCCCCGCTAAAGCAGCCTCTTACCCCATCGCTTTTTTGCAGGGGTGGGAGAAGGAAATGTAGCAGGGCGAGGAATCACCCTCGGGGTCACTCACAAGCTCTTCCCAGTTCTTTTCCCTAGCAAACAGTACCTGGGATGGGGACACCCACCGAAGGTAATCGCAGCCACGAACGGGCCGAAGCAATAGGCTTCAGGGACCATACTTCCACACTTAAGCGAGGGGATTGATGAACTCTGCCGCCACCCCTAATCAGGGACCTAAAGCTCAAGGGGAGATTCTGACTTTTCTTACCTTCCATCCCTCAGATTCATCGCTACGAGGCCCGCATCATGCCTCATATCGAAAACGATGTGAAGCTGGACTTCAAGGATGTCCTGTTGAGGCCCAAACGCAGCACCCTTAAGTCTCGAAGTGAGGTGAGCCAGCTTCTCCGCTTGCTTGTTCTTGACCCCAAGCTGCTGGTGGGCCACAGCGTAGAAAGATGCCTGGTCCTTATCCCAAAGCGATAGCATGTTTTTTGGATAAATGAAATGCTGTTTCCTGTTCATTTCTGCAGGTGGATCTCACAAGATCCTTTTCATTTCGGAACTCAAAGCATACCTACACTGGGGTTCCCATTATTGCCGCCAATATGGATACTGTGGGCACCTTTGAGATGGCCAAAGTTCTCTGTAAGGTAGGACTTTATTCATGCCCCTTCCCTATTGGTATCCAGTTAGCCCAGCTGACTGCAGAGGTGTCTGCATCCCTTGGTCCATCCATAATTAGCTCTCTGGTAATTAGCATTCAGGATGCTCTGATTTACTATTTTCTCCAGTACTAAGGCCCCTTCATCTGATAAGTTTAAAGGGCCATCCGAATTAGGGAGATTCAAAGCTAAGTTTTGCTCCCATTTTTCTGATATATGAACAGAATGTTCCCTTTTGTCCTGTCTAGCAGTTTATACACCTTGCCAACTTTTCCCACAACTCAGGTCACCCCCTCCCAATCAAATGCATCCCTCCAGTTACAACATTGCTTACAACACTAAGCATTCCCTTTTTTAGTCCAGAAACTAAATACAATTACAGCATCAAAATTCTTTACTAGAAGATCCTAGAAAGAAGCAACTTATTTTCTTTAATAAGAAAACAATTCTTTTTTTTAGACAATATCCATTTATTAGTGCTCAGTTTTGTCCATCAGAATTCCAGGCTTAGCTTATTAAGTCAGTCTAACAATTCTTTAACAAAAGAATAATTCTGCTATTTTTTTTCTTTTCTTTCAATCTTTAAGTCCTAGGTTTCTGGAAGTTTCTGGGATGTGTCCCAAATGGAATGTTTTTCTTATATACAGGTTGTTCACTTTGAAAATGGAAGATACTGCTCCTGTCAGTAATATTACCTGCCTCTATACTTGTAGCTGAGAAGGTAGACAGTTACCCGGAGCTTTGAGAACATATGCACTCGGCTGGTTAATCCTTGTAGCCCTGGTTGATGGATTCTGTTACTGTCTGTGGCTCCATTAGTTTAAGGACTTCATTTCCCTTTTTCTGTCTTTTGATTGCTGTGCCTTTGTAGAATGTCTGTTGTAATGTCTTTGAGGTCGATAGTTAGGCAGTTTTATTACTTCATTAATGTTACCATTCACTAACTGCTTAGGAGTCTTGCTGTTGTCTATTGTCTGCCTGCCCTGACCAGTTGAGTTTAGGAATGGAGACTCTGACTGCAGAGTTAACAGATGTGCTCTAATACGTGAACCTTGTTAGGGACTGCCTTGATGCTTCATGTTAAGATTGGCTTTCAGTATTGTTGATGAGTACTAACGAAATCAGATTTTGGAGATAGAACCACTCGTCACAGTAATAATAAAAATGTTGGATGCAAGCAAGCATCTTTTGCTAGGGTTGGTATGTAATCATATGTGCTCATCATGCCACACTATGCCAATATATCTCCAAGGTCTGCTGACCTCCTAGTGATTTTTCTTTGTCAGTATGTTGGTGGTAGAGTGTTGCTGAGAAAGCAGAATTTAATACCAGCTTTAGCTAGATAGTGTTGATGATGATCTGAGTGTGCATAGCTGGCTGAGACATGATTTCTTGGGTTTCTTGTAAGTTCTAAGATTTTTTTCTGTCTTAGCCAACCATCTTGTTTGTTTGCATGTCTGCACTTTTAAACCACAACACCAGCATTCGCAATGGGCTTTGAATGCTTTCCTCAAAGTGGTGGGATATTGTTTGCAATTTGTTGAACCAGAGAATATGAGCCCGTGACTCATTATATCCTTGAACTTAGCTGATTAAAATAGATTGAATGAAACCGATTTTTCAGCTTGATCCATATTCCCAACAAGAAAATTTGTCCTTTTTCCCAATAGAGATGGAGAAAAGGTAGAGTAGCCCCTTATCGGCTCTACTAACCTCAAGACATTACTTTTTGTGGGCATCTAGACCTGCTGAATTACTGCTGGTAAATGAACCAGAAGAAACCAACAATAGGTTCGTACTAAGTTACCTTAGGAGGAAGGGCTGAGTCAGTGCAGGGAAACACCGGCTCCATCCAGCCTCTTCATGGTTCTTCCATGTCTGCTGCTTATCCCACTGAACCAACAGCTTGTTTTCATCACCTTTTAAGTCAGAAGCACTGTATGTGCTGGCAGGTGAAATCCTTTTGGTGAGAATATCTGAAGTACTAGCTTATGGTAAGAGCCCTACTGGTATTTGCAGGGGGAATAATGGTTGAATTCAAATCCCACATCAACCACTGACTTCTTCAAGTTGCTTTCCTCCCAAACTTCAGTCATTTTTTCCTCAAATAGAATAGAACAAAGATCTATTTCTAGAAAAAGAGACCTTAATGAAATTTTTAAAAATTTTTTTCTTTTCTCCAGTTCTCTCTCTTCACTGCTGTGCATAAGCACTACAGCCTCGATCAGTGGCAAGAGTTTGCTAGCCAGAATCCTGACTGTCTTGAGGTAACACTGGGCCTACCCTGCTTCCTTTCTTATCCCAGTCTTCCAGCAATCTTTTGGCTTCCTGGACCTAACCCTCACCTCTTACCCATTGGCTGCTCACCGATCATCTGATATGATGCCAATGGTCCTGTTCCTCCTACAGTATCTGGCTGCCAGCTCAGGCACAGGCTCTTCTGACTTCGAGCATCTGGAACAGATCCTGGAAGCTATTCCCCAGGTGAACTATATATGCCTGGATGTGGCAAATGGCTACTCTGAACACTTTGTTGAGTTTTTAAAGGATGTGCGGAAACGCTTTCCCCAACACACCATCATGGTACGTTTCTATCTTTCCATGCTCTCCTGCCGCTCCATGTTGTTATATCAGTTCATTTATCCTCTGCTGCATTATAATATTCCTAGTCTATGTTCTAAGCATAAAATGTCAGTGCTGTATCTCTGGCCCTTGATTCATAGTCTTTGTAAACCGGGCTCGGTGGTTCAGCCTATAATCCCACGCTTTGGGAGGCTGAGGTGAGTGGATTGCCTGAGCCCACGGGTTCGAGACCCGCCTGGGCAACTTGGCAAGACCTCATCTCTACAATAAATCAAAAAATTAGCCAGGTGTGGTAGTGGGCTCCTGTAGTTCCAGCTACTTGGAAGGCTGAGGCGGAAGGATCACCGGAGCCCAGCAGTTCGAGGCTACAGTGGCCGGGAGCGGCCTCTGCACTCCAGTCTGGGCGACAGACTGAGACTCCAACTCAAAAAAAAAAAAACCAAAAAAACATAGTCTTTGTAAACCCAGTGTCCTTGACGTCACTCACCAAACCATGATGGGACATTTATGCATTGTACATACCTGTGGTGCAAATACATCTGCCCACTGAAATGGAAATGTACTACGATCACATAAAAGGGGTTACATGAAACAATGTTTTACTTTTTTACAAGCTTAAGGGAAAGACAAGGCCTCACTTTCTTCACAGCTGTCCATCAAAAGCCAACACAACTGGAAAGAGGCATATTTAGCCTATTGCCATGTCTTCCCCTTTTCCTGAATCCAGAGAGGTTCCATGACAGAATGGCTTAAGGACAGGATATGTTTGGGTCTCTTGGGAAAGGAGAGATAAATCTACTTTAAATCAGATCCAAGCTTGGTCCAGTAGCTCTCTCTGCTTCACTGAATGCTCCTGTCACCTCATGCCACACTGTTGATCACAACACTTTGTTGCCCGAGGCAGTAAAGTATATTCTGGATCTCAGCTTTACCCTAGTCCCTAGTTCAGTAGTGACACTGGCTGTTCACCCCCACAACCTAAGCTTGGTGTGCGGGGAACAGGTAGAAAGCAGGGTCTTCTGAAATAGCTAGTGTAGAAGACCTTGGAGGGCCCAGTAGAGGGAACCTAGGTATCCTTTTTTTGTAATAATGGAAAATCAAGGACCAAGCATATATGAGAGCATGGGACCTCCTCTTTCTGACCCTAAGATGCTCTATTTTGATTGCTCTGTCTTAGGCAGGGAACGTGGTAACAGGAGAGATGGTGGAAGAACTCATCCTCTCTGGTGCTGACATCATCAAAGTTGGAATCGGGCCAGGTAAGCTGGCTTATTGGAGCCATTGGCTACCCTTTTGGTGGCAAACACCTGTGGAGCACTTCGTTCTCACCCTTGTTCTTCCTAGGCTCTGTGTGTACCACCCGGAAGAAAACTGGAGTGGGGTACCCACAACTCAGTGCAGTGATGGAGTGTGCAGATGCTGCCCATGGCCTCAAAGGGCACATCATTTCAGTAAGGCCCTAGGGCAGGGTAGGGGACGAGGCTGCCAGACAGCTAGATTTCTGCAGGGTATGGATGCTGTTAGAGGTGGATCAGGACTTCTGGGTTCTTGTCAGCTTTGAGGTAGGCTGTTGGGACACTGCTGAGAGGGCTTGGAAAATCCATGCTGTCTGTTCATAGTGCTCCTTACTTTGCAGGATGGAGGCTGCAGCTGTCCTGGAGATGTGGCCAAGGCTTTTGGTAAGGATTGGGAGGGCACAAAAGGAGGATCCTGTAGAAAAGGATGAGTCACCTCTGAGGGTCTGGGATCAGGCTAGGAGAGACTCTGGAAGCCATTTGCTTTCTTTTATAATATGAATTAGTAATCCTGAAGCCCATGATATCACTTGAGCAAGCCAGCAGGGAATGTCCTACACCAGTTTGCACTCTCTTAAGTGTGGGCCATCTGACCATCCCCTGAATTGCTGCACAGTGTAGATTCCTGAATCCCACAGAATCAGGCTCTAAGGAATGGGGCTACAGATCTGTGTCTTTCATCTTTCACTGCCTCCAGGTGATGCTTACTCACGTTAAAGTTGGAGATCTTTGCTTTAGGGACATGTGAAATGAGGCTTGTTTAGCTGGGCACAATAAAATGAAATGACCAGAAGATGGCAAAAAGAGTGCAAAAACCAGGCAGGAATCTCCAAAGGTTCTTTTCAAAATCTTGGGGAAATCACTCCCACTGAGAAAGAGAGGCTAGGGCAGAGGAGGCCTGTGTGGATTGTGGGTCAGCTAGGGAAACAGAACAGGAAGATGCTGGAATCATTGGACTGAGAGTTTGGTGTGAGTTGTTTTTGAGGGTCACCGTGTGGGCACCTTGGCCAAATTAATCTCTTTTCCCCCTCCTTGATGCTGGCAGGGGCAGGGGCTGACTTCGTGATGTTGGGTGGAATGCTGGCTGGGCATAGTGAGTCAGGTGGTGAACTCATTGAGAGAGATGGCAAGAAGTACAAGCTCTTCTACGGAATGAGTTCTGAAATGGCCATGAAGAAGTATGCTGGAGGCGTGGCTGAGTACAGGTATGTGTGGAGGCCTAGGAGCTGAGGGTTCTTGGAAAGAATGACTAAGTAGTATGGAGGAAGAACTCATGGCTGCTGGGAAAGGGATGGTACAGTTCTTGGGAGAAGAATGGTGAAACATGGGACTGGGGGAATGTCCCTGGGCTTAAGGAATACAGGAGATGGTAATAACATTTTTCCTATTCCAAGGGCCTCAGAGGGAAAGACAGTAGAAGTTCCCTTTAAAGGGGATGTGGAACATACTATCCGAGACATCCTTGGAGGGATCCGCTCTACATGTACCTATGTGGGAGCGGCTAAGCTGAAGGAGTTGAGCCGGAGGACTACCTTCATCCGAGTCACCCAGCAGGTGAATCCAATCTTCAGTGATGAGCGCTAGACCTGAGCAGTTCTGCCCTCCCAAGGCACCAGCACTCTACCACGGGCCTCCCAAATAGCTCCTCATCCATCCCAGCTACTGCAGCTATGCATTACTTTGTCGTTTCCTATCATCTCAATTCTGAGGGCTCCTGCAGTAACGCCATACTTTTCTATCTGCATAAACAATGCCCAGGGCACATACTGGGGAGGAAGCAAGGAAGAAGACAGTCAAGAAAATGACGTAAGATAATCAAATGGGAATCTGGGGACGCAACATCTGAAGATTATTAAAAGGAAAACATACTGATTGGTACTAGACGTTTAATATGGTCTTGGTCTGGAAGAGGCAGGCTTTTTTGAATCATGTTTTGTTAATCAGCTTCACTAAATGGGACTTCTGACTATCTAAAAAGCTCAGAAGTGTTTACATATCTGAAATACCTCAATAAAGAGAGATCTCATTGACTATAAATAGATGCTGGGGCTTTTTTAGGTGCTACTCCAAGGTGGGTGGAGGTAGGGTAGCACTAACCCAGCGGGGTCAAGGACAATGAAGTATCTCCATTTGAGAGCTACCAACTCCAGGTAATCTGGCAGAATGAGAATTTACAAAGCATATTCTGGCATTAGGACATATATATTTTCAGAACAGCAAAATAACATTTTTATCCAGGTCCTCAACACTAGTAACTCTTCTGGGCACAGCTGAACAACACTTTCCAAGGGAAGGAAAAAAGAAAAAAGGACTCTTCCAGCTCTAGAGAGGCTAGTTCTGTTTCTAAGGAATGGCCTATGCTGGCTTTACAGAAATCTTAATTTCTCTCCCTCACATCAAGACAGTGTATTAACAAATCCAAACTTTAATTATTAAGCATTACAAAGTATTTTTAGCAGTGCAGTCAGACAATCCAAGCCTGCTTGCAGGGATGAGAAGGCAGGAGACAGGCAGAGGACATTTTAGGCCTATCATAGGGGTCTAGAGCTGTCTATACAGTCACTGGAAGTGATAGGCATAGTACTGGGGCCAGAAGAGGGGAGGTATTCACAGAAGGTGGGGATCAGAGTGTCAAGCTTTGTCTTCTGATAGTTTTCCAAAGACTCCTGTAGAGAAGGGAGCAGGGAGATTCTTCCATACAAAACCATTTCCCTAGCCCTCCAAATTCTGGAGGATGTGGTTTTCTCAGTCTTGTTCTGCCCATCCCCTTTCCTAGCTTTCTGCTCCTTCCTACTCACCTTTCCTTCCCTCTGGCCATTTTCTTCCTCATCAGAGTCTAAAACCAAGTCCCCTATGGTAATGCTGGAGCTGCACAGAGACGGAGGACATACTGCAGGAAGGAAACCAGAATCAAACTACTCCATCTAGGCAAACACAAGCTCTTAAGGGTTCCCAAGAGAAGAGGCTATCTAATTCAGTCCTGACTCAGACTACCTACCTGGCTTCCTTGCCCTAGGAGGTGATAATGATAGTCGCAGGGGGTCGATGTAGCAATCCAAGCAATTCCTGAGTGGGAGCAAGCAAAAAGGATAGAGTGAAGGGGAAGCAGGCAAAGAGTGCGCTCCTAGAAGGGAGAAGCAACTGCCACTCACTCCTTTTGCTCTGAGGCAGACAAGTCAACTGGGTTCTCCTTCAGAGCCCTTCCCCCCAGAGTCTGGCATGGACCCTTAGACTTCCCAGTGGAGGCTGCTCTTGTGCCCACAGCACCTGCTGGATGTGTTTTGTGTTTCCCATGTTCTTCCCTGTTCTCAGGCTTAGATATGACCTGGGTTGGTGAGCCAATCATAAAGGGTCCAGGTCCTTTAGGAGTGACTGTGAGGCACTCCTTATGGCCTCCCCTAGCAGACACACATTGGGACTGGACTCTTCGCCGGCCTATAGGGGCCAGATTGAAGTGGTGGCCAGCTAAAGGTTCTGGCTGCTTCCTTAAAGCTGGTCCCTGAGGAAGGTATGGGCCAGGCTTGGCTTTTGGCAGAGGCTTGTAGAGTGCTAGTCTTGGTTGTTGAGGAGGATTCTGTTCCGTGGTCTCTATCAGGTTCATTGAATCAGCAACAGAGCACTCTGAAAAAGAAAATGAAGCTTCTTATTAAGAGAACAGATGGTAATGGAATAACTCAGACTGGCTTCTTTTGCCTTAGGCCCACATAACTATTCTAATTGGCTACCTCAAAAGGTTTCATGCTAAATGCTAACCCCCCAAATTCCTAGTACCTGGAAGTGGCCACCCCATGTCCACACCATATTGGTTCAAGGCAAGAGAAGAGGTGACAGAAAAATCAGGCTGCATCCAACTCAGCACATCCTGAAGCTGTGGGCAGGGAAAGAGGTATGAAGACCACAGTCCTTGATACAACCACCCCACACTCTGCCCTTAGGTGTTTTGCCCAACAAAACCTGCTGTGCCTGCGGTATAGGCAGTGCTTTTTCCAGCCGACACAAATATTCGAAAAACAACTTTTCCATGGCAGCCAGAAAGGGTCCCCCATATTCTTGTTCAAGTTCCTGCAGTGGGGTAAAAAGCAGGTCAGAAGAGGATTAGAGAAAACAGGAGCCACATAACAGTCTCCAAACAAGTCAGTCTCACCTGCAGCTTCGAGTCCAAATCCACAGGGGCCTCTGACAGCTGCTTCACCTGCTGGCAAAAACTTTCTTGTGCCTCCAAAATCTTCTTCAGGTCCTGCTTTGTCTATTAAAGATATGGAAGGCAGACAAGTCAGTCATCAAGATCCAGTGCCCAGGAGGAGGGCACTTTGTTGCACCAAGTGTAGTTGGGGTTAGGGCTTATTACGGGAATTACTTACAGCTTTGGGGTCCCGCAATGCAGGTCCAGATTCAGGGAAGTGGTGATTCAGGGCATTCAGGACCTCAGACCAAGGCCGGCCCTGAAGAATCAGCTCCACCACCACCTATACGGTACCGCGTTCAGAATTCCCACTTTGGGGCAAACTGCCCCTTGCCAGCCCCCAAGCTGTGGGTCCTTATCACGTCCTCACATCCCGCCCCTTTCGTCCTTTCCCATTCCAGGTCCTACTTGTTCTAATACCTTGGCCTTCAGGCCCATACACAGGCGTTCATGGTGCCGGTAGCGAACCAAGCCGGGGGCTGCTGCACGCAGAGCTCGCAGAAACTCCAGTACTCGCGGGAAATGCTCCACGCAGCCTGTGCACACTACTTGCCAGCTGGCTGCGGCTGCGAAGCGCAGAGCAGCTGGACCGGCGCCCCGGGGCGGGGGCGTGGCCATGGCCGGCGGGCCCTGCCCCGGGGCGGTCCCTTCAGGCCCCCCCACCCAGATGAGGTTACCCGGCCCCGCCTAAGGGTCGGGCTTCCGGCGGCTCTCAGTGGCCCGGATCTTTCGATCTGCGCCAGATGTTTCGCGATCCGACTCCGCTCCCTTCCATAGGCCACCAGAACTCTAGAAGTCTTCTAGCTCGGGCTGGAGCCTGAACGGAGAAGGTGGCCGTCTCCAATGGCACCAGGTCGCCCAGCTTTAAACGCCGCCGCTGTCTGGAGCAGTAGAGTACCTCACTTCCGGCTCTGCCACTAGTTTTCTTGACCCGGAAAAGGACGGTGAGAGAGAACCAATGAGCGACCAGACAAAGGCAGTGTGACGTCACATCACGAGGCTAAGCCCAGCCGGTCCGGCGCCCACCCGGCCCCCTGCCGGATGACGGGCTGGGCCGCTGAGGCTTCGGAAACCGCTCATCTGGGCCACCTGGCGTCTGCCTCTCTTCGAGGGACCTGCGTCGAGTCACGCACTTCTCGGAGGCTCCAGTTCCTAGTCTGTAAAGCGAGGATCGTGCTACTGCCCCTTCCCGTTGTCTTCACCCCCTGAAATTCTCTAAATCCCAGCCCTCGAACCAGTGTCTGCAAAACCTTCCCCGGCGGCGCGCCGGTAAGAATCCCACTGTTCCTTTGACAAAACGGAAGAGGGCGCCCGCCTACCAAAAAAAATGAAATACAAAGCTTGAAACGATATAGCAAGTTGTTAACCTGGTTTTCTCCGGATGGTGGGATTGTAGGTAATTTTTTGTGTTCTGTGTTATGTGTCTTTTCTATGTCGTGTAGTTTTACAACACAGTGGTTTATTTTTTCAAGTTTGTGGCGCACTGAACTCAAGTCAGCCCCCTAATGCAATTAACTGCTTGTCTGTCTCCTTGTACCTCTCACTTCCATCACCAAGCACAGAACCTGACACAGGGATTTAGTGAAATTGCCTGCTGTTTAGTCCATCTCTTTCAATCTCAGAGGTGATGACTCACACATCCTTGTCGCGACCCCAGATCAGTCTTCTGAGCTCATCCACACACTCAGCTGTCCATGAAACACCCAATCCCAAAGTACCCCAAATCAGACATGTGTTGTCTTCCTTTTTTTCCCTTCATTTGTTCCTTCTCATGTTCTCCCTTTCTTCATGTAGATCTGAGTTTCTGACCTATATTATTTTCCTTCTTTTTTGGGGTGGGGGGTTGGAGTCTCACAGTCTGTTGCTCAAGCTGGAGTGCAGTGGCACACTCACAGTCACCCCAGCGTTGACCTGCTGAACTCCGGCGATCCTTACGCCTCAGCCTTCCAAGTAGCTGGAATCACAGGTGTGTGCCACCATGCCCAACTAATTTTTTGTAAATACAAGGTCTCACTGCATTGTCTAGGCTGATCTTGAACTCCTGGACTTAGGCGATCCTTCTGCCTCAGCCTCCCAAAGTATAGGGGGCAAAGGCATGAGCTACTGCACCCAGCCTGTAACAGTGTTTTTTACAGAATTTCCTTTTGGTCCTTTCTTTGAATGTCCACCACTCTTCTAACATTACCCACCTGTTTTTCTTTTTTCTTTTCTTTTCTTTTCTTTTTTCTTTTTTGAGTCAGAGTCTCTCACTCTGTCGCCCAGGCATGAGTGCGGTGCCACACTCACAGTCACTGCAGCCTTGACCTTCTGGGCTCAGGTGATCCACCTCAGCCTTCCAAGTAGCTGGAACTACAGGCATGTACCACCACGCCCAGCTCATTTTTTTGATTTATTGTAGAGATGAGGTCTCACCAAGTTTCCCAGGCTGGTCTTGAACCCGTGAGCTCAGGCAATCCTCTCACCTCGGCCTCCCAAAGTGCTGGGATTATAGGCATGAGCCACCACACCCGGCCCCCACTTGTTTTTCATGTTGTCCACTTTCTCCATTAGAGTCCTTAGCGTACTGACCATAGTTGTTTTAAATTCCTGGTATGATCATTCCAATATCTGCCATATCTGAGTCTGACTGTGATGCTTGCTGCTTCTTCAAACTGTGTGGTTTGTTTGTTTGTTTGTCTAGGCCCTCTTCCACCTCAAGGTCTTTGCACAGGCTCTTGTTTGCCTGGAGTGATCTCCCTTCCCTGTCTGCCTTGCCAATTCTTTCTTCTCCTCAAGGGTCACTTAAAGCTTCCTAGCCACCATCACCAGGCTAGATCACTTGTCTTTTTTTATTTATTTTTTATTTTTTGAGTTGGAGTCTCACTCTGTCACCCAGACTGGAGTGCAGTGGCCGATCCCAGCCACCGCAGCCTCGACCTGCTGGGCTCCAGCAATCCTTCTGCCTCAACCTTCCAAGTAGCTGAAACTACAGGCGTGTGCTACCACGCCCGGCTAATTTTTGATTTGTTGTAGAGATGAGGTCTCGTCAGGTTGCCCGGGCAGGTCTCAAACCCGTGGGTTCAGGCAATCCACTCACCTCTGCCTCCCAAAGTGCTGGGATTACAGGCTGAGCCACCGAGCCCGGCTAGATCACTTGTCTTTACAGCAAATTTCAGGGCCACATAGTCTTCTTGTCTTGTATGATTACTCAGTTAATATCTGTTTCTCACACTGTAAACTCCTCAAGACAGAAACCAGTTTTGTCCAGCACTTAGCTCATTGCTTGGCACATGTCACCAAATATTTGTTAGATAGGTGAAGGATGGGCCCTTTAGCCATCTCCATGCTGGACCATGGCATTCAGGGTCTTCTGTAGAACTCTGGTCCAGCTCTGGACAAAACTCCTTTTCCAGGGAAGACCTTAGAACAGCTAAAGCTGGCCAGGCTCCGTGGCTCAGCCTGTAATCCCAGCACTTTGGGAGGCTGAGGCGAGTGGATTGCCTGAGTCCACGGGTTCGAGACCCACCTGGGCAAGTTGGTGAGACCTCATCTCTACAATAAATCAAAAGATTAGCCAGGCGTGGTAGCGTGCACCTGTAGTTCCAGCTACTTGGAAGGCTGAGGCGGAAGGATCTCTGGAGCCCAGCAGGTCGAGACTGCGGTGGCCGGGAGCGGCCACTGCATTCCAGTCTGGGCGACAGAGTAAGACTCCAACTCAAAAAGAAAAAGAAAAAAGAACAGCTAAAGCTAGTTATTATTATTATTTTTTAAAGCAAGATTTATTCAAAGGACAGAAAAGCTCCCACAGTGGGAGGGGGACCCAAGAGGATTACCCGCTAGCTATTATTTTAAAAGATAACTTTATTAAAACCAAAATGCAACCACTGTAGTCTAAGTTTGAGAAATATTTATAAGCATCATCTTGTGAATTTTTGCTTTTAAATATGTAATTAGCTCCCACTGGAGCTTATTATCAGGAAGATAAAATCTTCCTTTTGGTGTTTCTAGCTCTCATAGACTTTTCCAAGAACTCCAAAAGGGCAGGACTTCTAGCTTCCATACTTGCCAGGGAGAGCCTCCACTGCTTCCCCAAACTTCCACACTCTCTGTCATTCTCCAGTTTAGTCCACCTTTCACTCAACAAATTTGTCTTGAGCACCTACCACATGTCATGGACTATGACTCAGCCATGAGTAAGAAAGATAAAATCCCTGCCTCATGGGGCTTACATTCTGGTTGAAGGAAACCAGAGATCTAAAATTCTAACAGATTAACCCTGGAATATGGGGAGCCAGAAGTACTTGCATGGTGCAGATGAGGTTGGAGAGGTCTGTAGGAGCCTGGTAGGTCAGGATAGGACCTTGGATTGTTCCAAGGGTGACAGGAAGCCATTGAAAGGTCTTAAGCAGGAGAGTGTCAGGGTTTAATTTTCAGTTTAGAAAGATCACTAGCTGTGTAGATAATATTCAGGAACAAAAATGGAAACCCACCAGGGTCTTGGCAGTTCTGTAGGTGGAGAACAGTGACAGTGTACTGGTAAATAAAGATTTAGGTGTATTTTGGAGGTAGTGCTGATAAGACTTGCTGATGGATTGAATATCAGAGGGGAGAATAGGGAGGGATGAAAGGTGGCTTGTAGATTTTTGGTTTGTGCAGCTTGGTCATTTTAACACTAGACATGGTGGCTCACACCTATAATCCCAGCATTTTGGGAGGACAAAGCAGGAGAATTGCTTGAGGCCAGGAGTTTGAGACCAGTCTGGGCAATAGAACGAGATCCCATGTCTACTAATAAAATTTTTTTATGGCTGGGCTCGGCGGCTCAGCCTGTAATCCCAGCACTTTGGGAGGCTGAGGCAAGTGGATTGATTGAGCCCGTGGGTTCAAGATCAGCCCAGGCAACTTGGCAAGACCTTGTTTCTATAATTAAAAAAAAAAATAGCCAGGTATGGTAGTACACGCCTGTAGTTCCGGCTACTTGGAAGGCTGAGGCGGAAGGATCGCCAGAGCTCAGCAGGTTGATGCTGGGGTGGCCGTGAGTGTGCCACTGCACTCCAGCCAGTGAGACTCTGATTAACCATTTTTTAAATTAAGAACAATGTCAGCCGGGCTCAGTGGCTCAGCCTATAATCCCACGCCTTTGGGAGGCTGAGGTGAGTGGATTGCCTGAGCCCACAGGTTCGAGACCTGCCTGGGCAGCAAGACCTCATCTCTACAATAAATCAAAAAATCAGCCGGACATGGTAGCATGCACCTATAATTCTGGCTACTTGGAAGGCTGAGGCGGAAGGGTCACCGGAGCCCAGCAGGTTGAGGCTGCGGTGGCCGGGAGCGGCCACTGCACTCCAGTCTGGGTGACAGAGTGAGACTCCAACTCAAAAAAAAAGAAAAGAAAAGAAAAGAAAAATGTCATGTTTCAAACCTTGTCTTGTCCAAGGTTTGAACCTAAGAAACTTGGAAAGACAGAAATTATCCTTTACTGAGAGAGGGTGACTTCAAGGAAGACATGCTGAAGGGAAGCCAGGAGTTTGATTTGGGGCATGTAACACTTGGAGTGTCTATAAGGAGTCCAGTAGAGAGGTATAGAAGGCAGCAGATACACAATTATGGGGTTTGAATTAAACAGCAGGGGCTGAAGATACAATTTTGGAAGCCAGTGGTTCTAAAAC